TGTCCAAAAATAATCTTATCGATCATTTGACAAATCCAAATCCAAAGCCGAAGCCGAAGCCGAGCCGAGCGAGCGACGATGACAGCACGAGGGTTCATTCTCTTCAACTCCTTTTAAGAGCTTTAAGAAGTGAATCTATATATAAGCACATAAATGTGATTGTCTCTCACCAATGAGGGACAAAGTGCAAGACAAAAGTTCACTTCTTCAAATTTTCATTTTTCCCTCCATTATATTTCCCTCCATTTCCAATTCACACTTCTTCTCTTTTAAAGCCCAATGGCTTAAAGTCCAACAATACCTGGCAGTATTTTTGAAGGTTCCGAGCAACATACTCTATTGTTCTATTAAGCTTTTGGATGTGTTTAGCAAGCTTAGCCATAGCCCATAGGGTTGTCATAGTGATCTATGTGAAGGAAAGGTCCGTTCAGTTGCAGGGGAACTTTTAAGTTGAGGGGGTTGTTCGTTTTGCAGCTTTAAATTGTAAAAGACTTCACCTGCCCCTCTTCTGTCCAATATCCAACTTATTGCATTTGGCTCTAACAGCAAGATTGTATATTTGGTGAATGCTCCCACACTCCAAATTGGTTTAGTCTTATTCTTGACTTCGGTATGGCATTCCCCCAATTTCTTCTAAGCACTTATGATGTTACGTTGGAATATTTGCTAGCTTTATCACAAGAAGTTATTAGATCTAGTCTTATGCTTGCCTACTATTCTTTAGTATGCACTCTAGCTATGTGTTCTAAGTAGCTGGGATGCTTTTCCCTCATTATACCCACATGAAGTAGTTGTTTCAGGATGTTGCAACTAATGTGGCTGTTAATGCATTTTCCGACTCCTGAATTGAGGTTTTCAAACGGATGGGAATCTTTGTTTATCAACTTGTATTGGTCACGATAGTTGAAAAGCCAATTTTTATTTTTTTTTGAAATTGTAAATGTTTTATTGATAGAAGGTACCAAGATGGTACAAGTAGTACAATAACAAAGGGAAAGTAGATCAGAGCATAAAGAACATAAAGATTACAACTACCGTCTGCCCCCTAGCAAGTTCAATAAATCCATTTACTTATTTATGCTACCAATAAGACTACCCTTACACCATAAGAAAAGATTCTGCAAACATTTGTTCTTAATTCTAGAAATATAGTCTCTTGGTCCTTAAAAACAAGCTCTATTCCTCTCCAGCCATAAGATCCAAAATATGCATATGCATTAGGTATTCCAAATCTGCTACAACCTTTTCTGAATCCTCTGCCCTTGCCAGCACTCGAGTTGGCCCCTTAACCTGCCCAAGAAATACCACATATACTCAGAAAAAGGTCCCAACATTGTCTTGAAATTCTACTGTGCAGAAAAAGATGTTGAACTGATTCTTGATCCTCCTCACATAAGTAGCACCAGTTAGCCAGGAGAAAAGCCAAAGTTCATTGATATGGAGGATCATGAGAAGCATTCTTTCTCTATGTGTTTCACTAGATATTGATATATAAACTCTAGTTTTGTTCACCTTTTCTTTGAGAAAGGTATAGTTTATGGACACCTAAAACTGCATGTGTGGTTATTTATATACGTAAGCGTCAGGTTGGAACATTTGTTTCTCTAATTTGGAATACCTCTTGTATTCGGGATTTTCCCCAAATTATCAATAATATTTATACTGTATAAGAGAAAGACAATTTAGCCTCAAACACAACTTAGAAGGTAAGTATATGATGCTTTTAATTGAGCTTCTGCGTGTTTGATCAATTTGGNTAATCAGCTGATTTAGTTCTTTGCTTTCTTTACTTTGGACAGTTTGATTGATTCTTTGAAGCATGGTTTTATATGTGGAAAGTGGAAACACACTCCTCATGTGTTCCAAACTGATGTACTCCCTCTTATATCTTTAATCTTTAAGAGACTTAATGATATAGCCAAATTCGGGGCCTCTAGCTTCATATTTCTATCCAAACTTTTGCTGCTGTTGTAGTAGCCCACCTGTTCGTGGACAGCGGAATAAAACAATCTGTTTTAGTAAAAGACATTAGCTTGTATACATTTCTTTTTTCCGGAGCCGAGGATCTATCGGAAACAGCCTCTCTACCTTCTCAGGGTAGGGGTAAGGTCTTTGTACACACTATCCTCCCCAGACCCCACTTGTGGGATCCCACTGGGTTGTTGTTGTTGTTGTTACGTTAGCTTGTATACCAAAAAAAGAAAGAGATTGAATGTCAACTGGGGGCATGATGTAGAACCTAAATATGTAAATTTATGTCTTCCAAGTTGTAACTGTATGCACATATGGAGTTCTGAAACCTAGTTAACCGGTTTGCAGAAGTTAAACTTCGATAAATCTTTCGTTTGAAAATAAAGAAGGTAGAGAAAGGTAGGCAGGACATTTGCCCCACAAACTTATCACTGAAACATGGTTTTATAGTTGTCCCTCCTTCATCGAGATTGAACGTTGATGCGAGATTGAACGATGATGCAGTTTATGCTATGCTTTCAATGTTAATCGTGTTTATTATATGTAAGTCTGTGATTGTCAACACATTGCTGAATTGTTTGATTTTTTTCTTGTTACAGAAACTATGGCTTAGAGGAATCTCCATTGGCCAAAAGTATTAATAGGCAAACGTTCATTTTTTCCTTGGGGACTATCTCATGTTATGTCTAGTTTATTTTTGCTCGGATTTTGAGTCAGAACCTTTTTGGTTTAGATCATGTTCAGAATGAAAGTGGAAGTGGTATGCTAAAAGAAAGTGCCAATTATAAAGAAGGAACTTGTTTGCAGCTAAACTCTATAAGTTCTCAGAGTCTTGATTATAGTAATCACCACTGTTGATAAACACGCTTTACTTTGTTCATATTTTAGAATTTATTTTCCTTTATATTCTAATTCAATTATGTAATACATACAGGAAGAAGATAGTCATTATATGGATAAGAAGGAATTTAGAAAGGAAATTTCTGAGGAAGTGACTAGGGAGTCACTAATTGCCATTTCTTATTCTGAACCAGAAAAGGATCTTTCTGTTCGACCTAGACCTGGAAACTGCCACACTGAGAATGTTGTTAAAGCGCTAAATGCTGATGGAGATGATAAATACTCTGAGCTGATCTCAATTTCCTACGAAGAGTCACCAGACGCTAAAGTTGAACTCAAGGGCTAAATTGCTCATCCAGCTGTGTAAAACACTTCCTTTGCAACATGTTGTATGTTACACATGAAGAACTGGATTTAACTTGAATTTGCAGTGTTCCACATGGACTCTACCCAATAAACTCTTCTGTTATAATCAACCTAAACCAAAATCAAGCACACAAGTGCTTCACCAAGCTTTTGATTTTCTTTGTATTAGATTTGGTGCATTTTTTCTCAAGTTTGAACTGCAGAACTTTGTCAAAAGTCACTCACCTGGAGTGTCCTTTTTGTTTCCCAAGTGTAGCTGTTATTTGGTGCCCGATCGTGTTTTGTAGCTTTGTTTAAATCATATACGGCGTCTGTGCAAATGTTGTGCTTTCCTTTTGACTGTGATCAATTCATTCCAGCTGCAGAGCCTAGTTCTTATGACATGTGAAAGCATCTATTATCACTATGTATTTACTTATTGATGTTGGGAAGTGAAAGTTGTGTTAATGACTTGTGAATACATCTATTATTATTTAGGCCAAATACATATACAGCCCGTTAAACTTGACACCAAATTTCACTTGGGCACTTCAACTGAGGCTTGTTCCTATTGAACACCTAAGCTTTATACAAAATGCGCCTATTAAACACATTTTGCTATTATGTAATAGCACAGTGTTTGTCACATTTTAGAGGCATCTTGTATATTGTTCACTGGAAAATGCATAGGTGTTGGCCGTAAAAGTGATCTCCGCCAATTACCTTTTTTCTAAATATTTTTCAATTACTTTCTTTTTTTCATATGGGCGGCCACCAACCATAATCACCAGCTCCTCTTCCTCTTTCAGATTTGGCTGCTGCCACCATCATCATCACCTCTTTCTCCTTCAAATCCGACCACCAATATCACCACTATCTCCTCCACGGTCTTCTCCAGTTCCGACTGTAGGCCACCATATCCACCAATATTTTCTTCTTCTTCAGATTCGGCGCTTCTACATCACCACCACCTCCTCCTCCTTCAAGTCCGATCACCACCACCACTGCCTTCTTCTTTATCAAATTTGACCATTATCACTGCCACCTCCTCCCCTTTATCAGATTTGGACGCCCACCACCAAAACCATACTTTAATCTAGGTAAAAAAAATATTAAAAAAGAAGAAGAATCGAAGCAGATGAAGGATTAATTGACAAGGTAATGCTGACCTACTATAGGATGGCATTCATCAAGACTTAGAAGTTGTTTGGCCAAGCTTATAAGCTGGTCAAACTGACTTATAAGCACTTTTTGGTTTATTTACGACGTTTTATAAAATTAAAAGTGCTTATAAGTTGAAGTGTTTATAAATAAACTGGTCTCCCCCAACTTATCAAATTTCAGCTTATAAGTATTTTAGGTTTGACCGAGATAATTACTATTATATCCCTAAAATATTTCTTTTTAAAATAAAACTCTTCATATATCCAGTTCTTCAGCTGTTTATTATTAATTTTAGCACTTTTATTCAAGTACATAATTACTTATTTTTTAAATCATCTTCAGTACTTAAGAGTGCTTTTCAGCACTTAATGCTACTCTAAATCAGCTAAGCCAAACGGCCCTTAGAATACAAAAAAGCTTTCAATTTAGATTTGTGTTGTAGCTAAAGTTGGTTGATAGCATATTATGTCAGTGACAGTGACGGTATTCCCAGCCATTAACTCCGTTTTTCTCTTTCTTTCTTTTATCAGATTATTTTTAATATTGTCTATTTATTTTTGCTGACATGTAATTTTTTTTTTTTTTGGTTTGGTCTTCCATTTTAAAAGAGAGTGAGATGCACGCAATAGTATTGGTTTGGAATTATCAAATTTGTGTTTAATAGGCATATTTTATATGGAGTTCAAGTGGTCAACAGGAACAAGCCTTGGTTAAGGTGTCTAAGTGGAATTTGGTGTCAACTTTAAGGGGCTGTCTGGTAGGCTTAATAACTTGTCACAACCCAAATTTTCCTACGTAAGATATCGTGATGGCACCTAGTTTTAGGGCTATGCATGGATCAGATCCGATCTAGTACATTTTGGATTGAAATTTCGGATTTCGGATTCCACAAAATGCAATCCAAATCCAATCCGAATTATATCGAATTGGATCGGATTTTAAAGTTCGGATCGATTTGGTGATCGGATATTCGGATCGGATTGTACTAAATATTTACGTCGTCAAGATAAAGTTCTTCAAGATTTGTTAGGCTTCCAACCAGTGTTTTCAGATCCGGGCTCTCAAGCTTCAAGAAATAATTATAAGAAAGGTCAAGAAATACTAACTGTGTCAATCTTGACAACTCCATTGGAATTTGCCCGTCAAAACCAACATATGAAAAATTAAGGTAGGTTGAGTTTTTGAGTTTATAAATTTCTATTGGTATTTGAACAGCGTCTAAGTGATTATAAGCCAAATTCAGCTTCTCAAGATACTTAAGATCGAATAGGCTACTTGAATTCTCAACTCCGACAGAAATTGTTTCATTGTCCAGTTCAAGAGAAGGTCGTTAATAATTCAACAGTTCAACATAGTTCATCTCCATGAACATCAGTCCTAATCCACAGAAGAAAAGGAAAGCTGCAAATCCTAATTCTTGTGATAGAATCCATTACATAAACAAAACACAATCTTCATAACAAAACAAAATTAACTGAAATCTCAAATAGATGTCTAATGAACTAAAATCCTTAACCAGAATTCCTTAATAGATTACACAAAAGAGTTCCAAGTTCCAACTTCTATGGCCATCGCACTCAATCCTGATTCCTGGCACGCTTTCAAGTTCTGCAACACTGCACTTGTCAAAAATGAGAAGATCGGTAAATCACAGCCCTAAGTAAATGAGAGAAACAGTGGTACAAGCAATTTCCATGCACAGCCCTAAGTAAATGTGTATCATGTTAAGCTGGGTAGAACTTTGATAGTAGTTGTTAACTGTCTGTAGATTCTAAGAAAATTTAAGATTTAGTCGATGTGGTTGTTGACAGAACATCACGACACAAATGTTTAAAAATTCACCATTGATGACTTGGTAATGCATCAGCCTAATTATCCACGCAACAGCCTAATGCAGCAGCCTAATTATCCTCTCTAATCATACTCAACATAGTCAGAACATACTGGGCAGAACATTTCTCAACATAGTCAGAACATACTGCTCACAAAACTGCGCAGAACATACTCAACATAGTAATGAAGTCTTCAAACTTCAAAGACACTACAATTGTACAACAGAACATTGATAAAAGCAGAAGAAAAAGAAGTCATCACTCATCACAACAGAAAATTGATAAAGGCACAGTAGGAAATCTGGGTGAACTCCTACCTTCTATATGTCGACGATGCAAGGCTCTCTTCCGGTATTAATAAAGTCTATAGAATAAGATAGTAATAGAATAAATTTGTTTTAAAATAATCTAAAAAAAATATAACATAAGTATGCATTGAACACAAGTAAAGTAATACAAGAAATAAGATAGTCTTACCCGCTTCAAGTTGTTCAAGATTATCTAAATCTTCTTCAATTTTAACCGGAGTTGTTGATTCGTTCCGAAGCCAATCTTGGACACACACAAGAGCTTGAACCAATCTAGGAGTCAATGAACTCCTAAATGGATCAAGTATGCGTCCACTGGTACTAAAGGTTGATTCTGAGGCAACACTAGAAATTGGAATGGCTAGCACATCACGTGTCATCTCAGCAAGAGTGGGAAATCTGGGTGAATTCAACTTCCACCACCCCAGAATGTTAAAATTTTCAAAGTCTTCCTCAACATCTTCACCCAAATATTTATCTAACTCTATTTTAGAATCAATTCCTTCACCCTTCTTATGCTTCTTTAAATCTAGCATGAATTTTGAAAGTGATGATGAAGAAGTAGATGAAGTTGGAGAAGATGGACATGAACCAGGGAAAGATGGAGAAGATGGATATGAACCGGAAGATGGAGAAGATGGAGATGAGCCAGAATCACCATTCTTCTTTGCATACACAGTGAACAAAGATTTCATGTATGTCTTTACCTCAATTTGTATTTTCACACCTATTGTTTCTCCAAACATAGCAGCAATAGCAAACGAAAGAGATTGAAACTTGTGGCGTGGATCGAACACACATGAAATAAAAATTATTTTGTTCATCTTTTATGGATCCCCCCAATACTTATCAAACTTCTACTTCATATTCTTTGCCATTTCTTTCAAGGTAGCATCTTCACTTTGCATCAACTCTTTCAAAGAATAACCAACAACACATATCTCAAGAAAGTGCACATTAGACGTAATAAAGTGTACCTGATACCTTCAAGGTGAGTTCATAAAATATTTCAAGAAACTTCACAGTACGTCTTACACTATCCCAATCAGTACTTAAAAGTGGATCTGCAAGCTGCCCATCCTCACAAATACAGTTAGAAATACATGACATCAAACCATAATCAATATTACAATATTTTGTAAAGGCTTCCTCATAAACTGTAGCAACCTTCAACATCAAATATGTGGAGTTCCACCTAGTAGGAACATCCAAGCACAATGATTTTTTAGAAGTTATCTTATCGAGATCACAACATTCTTTAAACTTCTTCCATCTTGCAGGAGATTGTCTAATGTACCTAATAGCTTGTCTTATTCGTTCCACAGACACACTCCCTACTCTCAACCCATCTTGAACAACTAGATTATTGATGTGAGCCATACATCTAACATGAACATGCTTACCTTCCATCAAGTTAGTGTTCCATCTAGTAAATTGTTTGGATAATTCTTTAACCATGACATCGTTAGAATTTGCATTATCAACTATCACAGTAAATACTTTATCCACTCCCCATTCAAGTAAACACTTAGCAACACCACTAGCTAAATCTTGACCTTTGTGACTAGTAATTGGACAAAAATTCAATATCTTTTTATGCAAATTCCAATCCAAATGCACATCCCTACCCAGTCTCTAAGATTAGGTAAGCCTAACAATCATGTGAAATAACTGGAGTAATAATTAAAAGTCTCAAAACTTCAATAATTATATAAAATAAAATATGCAACTTAATATGTACAACTCCCAAAATCTGGTGAAATATAAGTCATAAGCTCTAAATAATAGTACTGAATAATCATATATATTATTGTCTATAATAGGGAAACGAAATAAGGAAATCAAGATAGAAGGGAACTCTAAGGCCTGCGGACGCTGGCAGATATACGTTGAAGTCTCCACGCTCGAACTCAAATCATTGATGCCTGAACTAGTAAGATGTACCTGGATCTGCACAAAAAGATTTGCAAAAGAGTATCATGAGTACAACATAATGGTACCCAGTAAGTGTCAAACCTAACCTCGGTAGAGTAGTGACGAGGTCAGGTCAAGGACCTACTGGAATAAATAAAAGACTAAACAATATAAGGCGGTGTAATAACGATAGTAATGAAATTGAAACAACAATTTGCATATCAAGGTTAGTTAAACGGAACTAAGCAAGTAGTGTAACACGGAGAAAAACAGATATTAATATGCTAAGGAAGAAACAACCAAATACAAGTGCAAAAATGGAGGATTTCTAACAAGACTCACTACCGAGGTACCGTCTCATAGTCTCAAATCACAAGAATAAATCACAATTTCTCCTTATATCACCGCGGGAGCCTTAACATTTAGTTTTGAAAATTATTTTCCCGCAATAGCATCTCGCGTTTTAGCCCACCTTATCACACCGCTTGACTTCTAGTAGTTTCCCTACTAGCCACGTGCATCAAGTCCACCTTATCTCACTGCATACGTTTTAAACTCAAAATCTTATATCACCGCATGTGTATCAATATCACAGTGTATCACAAATCGTACCTCAAGTGCCAAATATCACGACTTGCCAGAAACCAAACAATAACAGAATTTCACAATAAGAAGCCCACGACTCAATCACAATGTACACAAAGTCTCAATAATAACAACCGGAAGTGAATAACTCAATAGAATGATATTTCACAACTTAACACTGTAAGCACGTGATTTTTGCTTTACGAGCAATCACTCCAAAAGAAAATAAAAATAGTGACA